CACTCCCCTCCCCTATTATTGTAAGCCACCCTGAGTCCCCTCAGGGAAAAGGGGGGCCTATAAATGTTTAATAAAACTAAAAAACTAAAACTAATTGTGGAAAATGTATTATTCCTCTTAGTGTTTCTGTGTTAAATTTTACTGAATAGTCCAATCATCTTTTCTATACACCTATTTTGTTTATTTTGAATTTAATAAAAATTTAGATATATTTGTACTGAATGTTTCTCAGCCCAAATAACCAGTGGATTAGAACCACTTAGCATTAAATTAAATTCCCCAACTAGGCAACCTGTTTACTGACATGCGAGTTTCATTAAGAGTTAAGTTCAAGTCCTATACACAGGAAACTCTGTATTGATAGCCATTTCATGAAACTGGGTTTTTATGGACTAATTCAAGATGTGAGTGAGGTCTTTAGTTGGATTGACTAAAGCAACGTATTACCTAGTATACGCCTTATAACCATGTGGTGTACTATTTGGGGGAAATGTTGTAAACTATACTAATGTTATATCTCCTGGTCACTATTCTGTATAATCTCCCCCAACACCTCTTTTCAGATACTTTGATAACCCAGGAGGAGACAGTAAAGGAAGAGAAACCTCAGGATCCTGAAGTAGACAAAACTAATCAGGAGAGCAAAGAACAAGATAAAGGTAACTTCATGTGTAAATGCAAGATCGCAAACTATGTTTGTGAATTACGTTTCTCCTTTGGTTGATAGGCACATAAAGCATGACTTCCTTCCTTCCTTCCTTCCTTCCTTCCTTCCTTCCTTCCTTCCTTCCTTCCTTCCTTCCTTCCTTAAAATACAGGACAATAAGGATTTTTTAAAAATGTTTTCTGAGATTGATTCAAAATATTTTGGGAAAATAAATAGTATTCGAATTAAAAGAGTAGGGTATTTGCTAAATTCTTGGAATGCATTAAGAGCCTAGTTGACAATTCCACTAAGATTTTTTTAAAAAAAGAGTTCATTTGCATGCAATACATGTGTCTAGCTTGTGCCCAGTGATTCTGTGCAATTGTTTGTCATCAAATGGACGTTTCCTAATTTTAAAACACTTACTGTTAATAACAAGGACATCCTTTCATACAGAGATTAAATAATTTAAAATAAAAATTAGATACGGTCTTTACTGAAAATCCAGGTCATTTCTAACAATAGCTTTGTAACAATGAACTTACAGGTGATTTAATTGCAAACCCATATTTGTAATATTGACACTTTTCTGCATTGGAAACTTAGGTTATAGCACTTACCTTCTTCATTGCGCATATCCAGCTTCACAACATTTTCATTTTTTTATTGCATTGCAATTCCAAGTTGAGACTAATCACACCTTCTTTATTCTGCATGATGTTAATGGTATCAGAGTTGTGTTTCATTACTGACAGTGATAATAGAATTGATATAATCCTTCCTGCAAATCCAGGTAAATGGTGTTATTCTTTTTTTTCTTTTTTTTTTGCAGAGCTAGCTTAGGGAATGCAAACTCATTCAAGCTGCAAATGCCAAAACCATTATGCTAATTTCCTCTGCACAGAAATTATTTACATTTTATTTTATGCCTCATCAGAAGCAAGGCAAATCAAATGTACCTTCATTACTTGTACCTTTCCTTCTAACACCTTTCTGTCCCTTACAGCTTGCATTTAACACCCAGTGGGTGCATTATATTTCACCATCTGTTCTACCTAAGATTCAGCTATGGAGTATTTGAAAAGTTAATGTCCAATCCTTCCTTCAACAGATAGCTAGTTTGGTTGGTTGATTGATTAATTAATTTGTTGGTTACTTTTCTTGGCATCTTCTTTTTCTAAAAGTAAGAGATTGAAAAATGAAAAAAAAATGATATTTGGGTCCCCTTTATCTGCAGTATACAGTTTAGGGTTCTGTTGCTAAAGCATCTCATGTTTGACAAGTGCAAACACAGTAACTTCCATCACAAAAATAGGTAACTCTTTGCATTTACTTTGATACCTTTGGATCACACTGTAGAGATGTAATCTGGAGACTGGCTAATTCCTCCATTCCAACTTGGATGCTAAAGTTTACCATTAAAGAGTTAAATAAACAAATAACATTGGTGGCAATTAATGTATTTTACAGATTAGATATAGTTAATGATGTAAGATTAAGATTTAAGATTTAATTTATTTGTATGCCGCCCTTCTCCGGGAGGGACTCAGGACGGCGAACAACTCAAAAGGGGAAAGGGGATACAAACACAATACATATAATTAAAATACACAAGAGTCATACGGCCATACAAGTCGAGAGGGGAGGGGAACTCTCCCTCCCTATGTAATCTCTCTTCTATGGTTCTGCTCAGTTTATACAATCCAGCAGAGGTGAGCTGCACAGATCTCTTCCATTATGCAGTGACATCTGTTGGGATCTAAGAAGCATGCCTTCTCTGTTGCAACAACTGCCCTATGGAATATTTCCTATCTCCAAATATACCCTAACAACCCACACCCCACATCAATCCTGACTATGCTAAAAAGAATTCTGAAAAGTTGACTCTTTGCCCAGGCTTTGGGTTAGAGTAAGTGGCAGGTCCGATGGGTTTTATTGCTTTTAAATTATTGCTTTGAGAATAATATTGAATATTATTTATTATTCCTTTTTAATATACTGTATTTATTTATTCTAAACATCTGGGTTTTTAATTGTATTTTAGGATTGATTTCATTTTATGCTACCTAGACCTGTTATAGGGTTAGGTAGAGAGAGAAAAGAGAGAGAAAGAAAGAGGGGAGGGGAGAGAAATGGATGCCTTATGATTGTAGGCTATTGTGTTTTATTCCAGTAAGCTTTAGGTTCTGTTGCTTAGAGTCCCTTACTTCTGGTTTCTGGAAATTTAAACTTGGCCATTCTGAATTTTCCAGACTGAACAGAAGAATCCAATTCAACAACTAGATTGTTGCTCCCTGACTTTTCTTAGCCTGGGAGTTGAGGCACTCTTTCTGTGTAATGGAAGGTAAATTGGTTTGCCTTCCTTAGTAGGAAATGCCTTTCTCTTTCCCTACCATATCTTTGGAGCCAAATAAAGATTTTTCACTCTACACACAGCATGAAGATGCCTCAGTAAAGCTTGAGAGAGAAGATTGTGGGGACAGAGACAACCGTTACTGTATACTATGCATTTGCTTAAATATACTGTATCTTAGCAAGAGTTCTATACTAATTTCACACACCAGAGTTGGTGAAATGAATCCCAGAATATATGTGACATAAAAAACTGATTATTGATTTTATTCTTTTTGATGATGACTTGGAACACAATACTAGATCTTGTCTTATGTATCAAAGATTGGGTAACATCAATTTTCAAAGCTGGCCCTATCAATGTACCCTGGCGTATATCAGCCACCTCCTTCCTATCATCCAATCTGCCATCCAATCTAAGGGGGCCTGCTGAAATGCCCCCTTCCCCTTCCCTTTCCCTGGGGGGTATATAGGTATCAGGCCTTTTCTATATGCTCCCACATGCTTTCCATGGGGGTTGTATAGCTATCTCCCACTTGGGATTCTGCAAGATTGTAAAGTTATTGTATTTTAATTGTACTGTTGAACCCTGGTTAACGATTCTCTTGCACTCTACATTTGTTTTTGTTCTATTCTATCTAGTTTGCATTTTATTTATTTTTCAAGCATATATGCTTTCCAGAGTCTTGTGGGTGGGGTGCTCTACAAATATTAAAAGAAAACAAAGAAAGCATAAATATCTAAGGGGGAAATATTGGCAGGACTACATATTTGAATTACCAGATCTACTGTAAAAATTGCTGTCAGGAGTCTGTGTTATATTAAGGCTAACTAAAATAAGCAATAAACAAACATTGAAAACCAGTGCAATTTTTCTATTGTCAAGTTGTGAAGAATTAAACCGTGCTTGCGTTGCTAAAAGCACTTGGTTTCATAGAGTTACAACTGCAGGCATTTGTGGGCCTCTGAGGAAGACCTGTCCCCTCTAGCAAATATCTTTTTTATTGATGGAGAAGCACGTCTCACTTATCTCCCTTGGATATTTATCCAAGTAGACAGGATTAGGATTTCCCATTTAACACTCAGAGAACACCTTCACAGTGAGATACTGAAGAGGAAGCCAAGGAATAAATATTGTATAATCTGTGTCATGTGTACTGAACCTGCCAGTTTTCATTGAGAGTTACAACAAAGTGCATTTTGATCAGCATAATCCCTATATGATTTTTGAACATTAGAATGACTCTTTCCAGGTGAGAAGTTTGTTCCATCATCTGAGACTTTCTAATGAGGTATAAAACAAAATTAATTTAATATTGGTTGATATCCTCGTTATCATCCTGTTTTCCTTTTGCCTCCAGTGGCACAAAACTCTGGGATGCCTGCCAATCAATTCAACTACCGTATTTCCACCCATATAACCCGCCCACGCAAATAACCCGCCCACGCATATAACCCGCGGGTTTTCCGGATCGTGTAAAATATCTTCCGTATACCCCGCCCACGCATATAACCCGCCCACGCATATAACCCGCCCACGCATATAACCCGCGACGAGTAAGAGAGAAGGGAAACAGCTGAGATGGGGGGGGAAGAAACGGAGAAACAAGCCTGCGCAAGCTGGGGAAGAGGAAAGGAACGGAGGAGAAGGAAACAGCTGAGATCGGGGTGGGGGAAGAAACGGAGAAACAAGCCTGCGCAAGCTGGGGAAGAGGAAAGGAACGGAGGAGAAGGAAACAGCTGAGATCGGGGTGGGGGAAGAAACGGAGAAACAAGCCTGCGCAAGCTGGGGAAGAGGAAAGGAACGGAGGAGAAGGAAACAGCTGAGATCGGGGTGGGGGAAGAAACGGAGAAACAAGCCTGTGTACCGGTAAGCCTCCGATCGTGTAAAATATCTTCCGTATACCCCGCCCACGCATATAACCCGCAGGGGGCGCTGTGCATGTAAAAACCGCATATAACCCGCGGGTTATATGGGTGAAAATACGGTAATCAAATATCCTCCTTCCTTCCACCCTCTCTCCAAACTGGTCAATTAAAGATTTTCTTTGCCACCCACTCACAGGTCTTTAAGACTCCAAAACACCAGAGTGTTTCAAGACCAATAAACAAACTCACAAGCCCTCTTCACATCATGAAATGGTTTATTAGTGATATAGTCTCCCCGTCCCTAACTATCTATTTGTTAGATAGCATAAGCTCTTGGAAAGTAGTGACATGATTGAAAAAAGTATCTGACCACATGAATTATAATCGGAACTGCTTGTACTGTAAGTGAGAGGAAAGTATGCAAAAATGAATATTCAAGTGCATGGTTTGGGAATAAAAACCTGCAGAACCCATCCAGATGTTACAAAGTTGATCTTGACCTAAATTAATGAGCTCCATAAAAGAAAGAAATGATTTGGTATAGAAACTTGGAGAGGCACAGAAAAACACTGAAGTAGAGGAATGAAAGTGTAGCCTTGGTTTGGCAGCTAAGTTCAGAGTCTTTCAACTAAAAGTATTCTAAAAAATGGGTCAGAGGTGGTATTCAGCAGGTTCTGACCAGTTCTGGAGAATCGGTAGCAGAAATTTTGAGTAGTTCGGAGAACTGGTAAATACCACCTCTGACTAGCCCTGCCCCCATCTATTCTCTGCCTCCAGAGTCCCAACTGATCC